CATCTCCACCTTTGTTTGAGATTTAATTATATCTCTTGTCATTGTCCAACCGACCCACGAAGGAATATGATTTCATGAATGGAAAATGGCAGTCATCGGTTGGATGGAATAATCTGGGGTCCAAATATGAACAATTTCATTCGGGATCTCCTAATTAAAGAATATCACACTTGATTTTTCGCTGACACCTCCATACACTGCCAACCGACTTAGTTGATCTGTACCCATGAACTATCTTGGCCTGACCCTACGCCAAATACATGATTCATCCATCACTTCTTCATAAAGCATTATGCCCCTTTTTACTTGTGTCTTCTTCACCCTAGCAATCTATGGTTCCGCTATCACCAGTACATAAGAATTGGGTGTCCCGTGGGTCCACCAAACACATCTTTCAGGCAACTTAAGAACAAAGATTATACAGACCACGTAGGGAGTGGGCACATAATCGATTAACCGGCCAGTTGAACTGACATTATCTGATGGATCAATAAACTAATTGGTTAGTTAATTTAGTTGATTGGTGAGTATGGTTAAATGAGATTTTTTTTTTTTTATTGAATCAAAATTGTATTATTAAAGTGAGTGTAAGAGGTATTCACCGGTTACTTTTGAAAAACACAGTGCATAAGGAAAGATGCGAAGATTGAACTGCACAAAGGATTGGGAATTGACACCAATTAATCACTAAAGCAGAACACAGCAGATTCCTGGTTAAATGAGATGTAGAGAAAGCTGTAAGCTTAGTTTGACATTATTTACCTATAATTGCAATTGCAAGTTTTTTAGTAATTTAACACCTTAAAAATATATACAATACATTTAATATTTATTTTAATTAACATTTTATATATTTTTAAAATAATACAAGATATAAACAGTAAAAATTAAAGCATAAAAAAGTATTATCAAACAAAGCAATGTTTGATAAGTTGTCAATAGGTGGTTTAATTGAGCCAGCTAAATTAACCAAAAAATGAATATAAAGGGGTGCTTGTTTTAGTGATTTGCAAACAATCATCTGTTATTAATTTTAATAAGATGGATTAAATACTCTAAATTATAAATAATAATGATTATCAATCATCAAATATTAATTATTAGTTATATTTAAATAATTAATCTGAAAATCCTATAAGACAATTAATAGTTTATTAACAAATTGGTAATTAATTAATCGTTAAGTAATCAAAATTTAATTATTAGTTTGTTCGGTGAGTTATCAATTAAAATAGAGGTGAATTAACCATCAAACCTAATCGACTGAACCATTAACTGATTTTTTTGATTCAGTTATTGCTCAAGTTTTCAATTAGCCAACATTTAATTCGGTCAATTAACAAACCAAACCAACATCCACCATTGAGCACGATCGAGATTAAAAAAGGTTATCTGCTTATTCCACCCTATTCATGTTTGTTGTTGAAACATAAATTTCCTAAAAAGGCATTTGTTTCCTTTTTAATTTAGAATTTTTTTAACTTGTGCTTTTAAGACACAAGTTAAGAATGTTAAAAAAAAAAAAAATTAAATTAATAAATTTTTAATTAAATTTATTTATGTTGTATTGAATCTAAAATTAATGATTATTTTTACATTTTTATACAAATTTATTATATTTTTTATACAAATTTATTAAAAAAATACTATTTAACATATGCTTTTAAGGCACAGAATAAAAAAATCCTTTAATTTGCCACTCCTTGACCCCTGCGTTTCACATTATTTGACATGAGAGAGCCCTAAAATTGAAAAAATAATAATTTGTTCTTGACTTTAGATCTAGATATGATTTTTTTTTTAAAGATGTGTCTAAAGTACTAATTTGCTCTTTTGAAGTTTAATTTTTTACACTACTTCAATAAAGAAGATAATTAACGTTAGAGAGTAAAATTATAGTTAATTAATGTTGTATTTTGCTTGTCATTAATTAATGATGTATAGAAAATTGAAAAAAGTTTCTTATTTTGTAATTTATAAAAATCAGTGGATGAAGAATAAAGTATTTCAATATCAAAAATTTACTTCATCTAATAATTTAAATTATATAATACAATATAATCTAAACTATATAATTTCTTTTTAAACCAAAGATGACAATTAAATGAAATAAATTTTTTTTCCCTAAAACGTCTAACACAATGGAGCACAGGTTATATATGAAATTACCAATATGCAAAGTAAGTTTTTCAAGGAATAAGAATATCTTCTATGTTTATTATCGGCAAAAAGGGTATTTTAACCTATGTACTTTTAGATATTGTTGAGATAAACCCTTCAATTTTTTTTTTTTGAAATATTTGAATCCCATGACTTACATATTGAAATAAATTAACCCACATACTTTTTGGTTAAAATAAATTAGCCCAAATCTTAACGTATGATGTCATGAAATGTTAATTTATTGTGAAACACAATTATTTGCCGTTAATACATTGCTGACTTGGTGCATGTGGGACCTAATTTAGTGACATGGTATGATGTGGACTACTTTTTTGCTAACATGGCTCTTGATTTGCTGACTTGGACTACTTATTTCCCCAAAAACTCACCTGCTTGAAAGCTCTTGCCATTCACAGAGACAATCTGGAATAAAGAACGACTTTACGTTTAGGGTTTTATTTAGGGCCGATTAAGGGGTAAATATAAAGCAAGTTGCTCCCATTAAACAAAGAACAAAAAAAGGAGTGTTGCTTTCAAACAAATTGTAGGTTATTGCCAGATTCTCTTGTCAAACAAAGTGCTAAAGATTCATGGTAAATCCTAGGCAAGATTCCATTGATTATGAAGTGCAGGACATCAACTTTATTAGGTCAGTCTTTTGTACAATCTTTTGTTGGATTTTTAGTACAAAAAGTTAGGGTCTCAAGAAATAATATTTATTTTTTCTATTGTGTTGTCCCTTTCTCCAACATGTTGTGCTATGTGTAATATACTTGTTTAATTTGTTGAATTTTGTATCTTTATTTGTATTCTTAATATGTGAGTTTGTGTCATATTTTATATTGAATGTTTTTGTTTTGATATTCTAATAGCCAAATGAAAGAATTTTATGGGGTTTTGGTAATCAATCTTGGGGGTACATTCACTTATGGCTCACTATTACAGTATGTTAATGGGGTGTCGATTACTAAGCTTGTGGATGGGGACAAACTAAATGCATTTGAAATAGTTGATTATGTTGTTTCTTTGGGATACAAAGAAGTTATGATAAAAAAAATATTGTTTAAAACCCCATTAACTAACATGGATTCCTTGACATCCTTAGTTGGGGATGACCATATTTTTACTATTCTTAGAATTTTAAAGAAGAAGGTGAGGTTCATCTGTATGTTAATCATGAGGTTAATTTTGTTGATGTAATTAACCCTGTTTTGTCTATTAGTTGCAAAGATGCGGTTGTAAATGAAGGTGGTGGGGTTGGTGTTGATAGTAATGATAATCAAAACCATTTGAAGCTGACAATGCCAATGTTACAACAGAAAGGTAGGATCTTTATGAGGACAATTTTGACAATTCACATAAGGAGTTTGATTTAAAATATGAATCTCAAAATGATGAAGATTTGGGCAATCTAGTTGGCACTGACAATGAGAAATTTTTGACATATTTACATAGAGCAAAAGCTTTGAGGAAGAAAAGGAGGGCTAGATTTGGAGTTGAAGAAGGTTCAACCTCCAATACTCAAGCTAGAAGTAGGGAAATACCTCCAAAATCCACTCCAACAAGATTAACTCTAACACCATCAACTCCAACAAGATCAACAATAGCAAGATCTATTTCCTCAACTCCAAAAAAATCAACTCCAACAAGGGTGAAACATGTTATAAGAAAACGTACTCCAAAAGAAGTAAAGGGGGTTGCCAAAAAGTTAATAGCAACATCTATTGAGTCAATTGAGTAGCCTTTTGTGGGTGAAGCAACTCTAGTAATTGAGCAACCTTCTATGGATGTAGCAACTCTAGCATCTGAGCAACTTCATGGGGATGCAGCAAGACCAATATTAGAGTAGCTTCATGTACATACAACACCTCTAACATCTGAGCAATTTCATGTGGATGCAATAAGACTAGCATTTAAACAACTTCATGTGGATGCAACAACTCTAGCATCTAAGTAGCCTTTTGTGCGTGAAGCAACTCTAGCTACTGAGCAGCCTAATGTGGACATAGCAACTCTAGCAATTGAGCTAGGGTTAAAGAAAAGGGGCAAACCAAGCAAACTTTCATTAAAGCCACTATCTGCTAAGGAAAGAGCATAGTATGAGAAAAAGCTTTCTATCATTAGAAGATATAAGACCTTAAACATTGAGCAAAATGATGCAAATAGCCTAGGCAAGTCAATCCTTGGAGATCCAATTACTCTTTTTAACAGTTACCTGTTAATAATTTAGAATATTTTGATGATATTGATGAAAGAGATAGCCATTACAAAGACTATAATGATCCTCGCAACTTGTGGATAAGTTCAAGTGACGTTGATAAAGATAAATATTATGTCTACATTGATTTAGAAGGGGATGAA